ATAGCCCTGAAGGAGAACCAACATTTTGTTGTAGTTTAATATCCACTTCATTATAGGCCACTCCGAGGTAACTAAGCATTGAAATATGTAAGTAACTCTGGGGCCATTTTTATTCAAACTACCACATTAGAGGAGAAAAGTAATCACCAGTCTCACCCAAGTATGAACCCTGAGACCTACAACCAAACAGACCTACAACCTGTAAGATACACTGGTACAGTAATGGCACCAATGTTATGGGAGTAACCAATGACTTTTTTTTTTTTTAACTTAAGATCCACTCTATGAGATGGAACTATGTTCCTGAACTATTATTGAGGCCAAAAATCTAACACTAGTTTATGTCATGGACCCTGGGGGAAACCTATTATTATTATTATTATTCTGCTAAATGAACATAGCAATAAAATGATTCCTAGTGATATATTGCTATCCCCATAGTTTAACATATAGCTCAACACTCATCAGAGAAGCTTCTTACAGAAGAAGGTAATTAATCCAGACCCATAACTGGACAATGTACAGATAGTCTGAGATTTTTGGAGCACTCGGTCTTAAATGGGATGGCTTTATCAAATCCCTCCTCTCAAGGATCAGGATCTTAAGACCCAAAGGTGGTCAATGACTCCCAAGAGCACGGCAAACAGTGTTGATGCAAAGAAGACCTCACAGAGGCTGTGGCAGCATGCCCAAGGCCTGTACAAATGCAAACCAGATAAAATCCCAGCACAGAGAAAGGAAGATGGGCACAAAGCTCCACCCCTAACCAAGAAGCCATTTGTAATTGATATCTTTTGGAAGTTTTTACCAATGGAGCAAGGATTATACTCCAGGGGACGTCTCATGCTTAGAAACAGTTGGACCAACAGACTATATTGTGTGTATGATGTTGATGTCGGTGTTGTTATTACGGTTTAATATTTTTGTCAGTTTGGTTATTGTTTTGTTTTCTTTGGTTTTGTTCTGTTTTGATGTAAGAGAAATAACAGGAATTTGATGGATAAGGAAGTAGGGAAGAACTGAGGAAGCTTAGGGGAGGGGAAATATGATCAAAATATATGGTATGAAAAAAATAATGTAGTTAAAAAAGAGACCCTAAAGACTTAACCAGAAAGCTCTTAGAACTGACACATTCAGCTAAGTGGAAGGATGTAAAATTAACATACAAAAATGAAAAGCTTGCCTATATGCTAATGACAAACATACTGAGGAAGAAATCAGGGAAACAAAATTCAGTAAAAAGTTGCTGGTGAGATGGCTCACCAGTTAAGAGCACTGGTTGCTCTTCAAGAGGACCTAAGTGTAATCCCTAGCACCCACATGGCTCCAACACTCAGACACACAAACATGCAGGCAAAACCCCAATGCGTATACAATAAAAATTAATAAATTATTTTATAAAAGGTAATAAAAAACAAACTATCTCAGAATAAACTTAATCAAGGAAGTGGACAGCTTCTATGAGAGAAACTTTAAAACACTCCAGAGAGAAACTGAAGATGACACTATAGACTGTGGAGCTACCCGCCATTCTCTTGGATTGAAGACTCAATAGTGCGAAACTGGCCGTCTTAGCAGAATCAGATTCAACGCACACACACAGAGAATTAACAAATGAACAAACTGTAACTTAAAAAATGGGCTGGGTTGCTGAACAGAACTCTGAGGAGAAGGAACACTCTCAATTCCATCGTCATCAGCCTCCTATGCTGGTACCTGCCGGTTCAGCCAACCATGGAGCAAAAGTTTTTGAAAAGGTTGTCAGCATTGAACTTGTACAGTTTTTTTTTTCTCAAGTTTAGTCTATGAACAATAAAGTTGAGCAGCTGTTTCCATGAATTTGCATTGCACTAGGAATATATGTAGAGACCGACCACCAACCATTTTATTGGTTTAAAAAAAAAAGAAAGAAAGAAAAAGAAAAGGAATTATAACACCAGATGACATTTGTACCCCAAAGAGGAGGTCTTGGAACTGATCTAAAGAAGTCAAGGGGAGACACTTCCTCTGGATCAGAGTTTTCAGATCTTTTGAGTAGCACTGACTTAAGGATTTTATAAATACAGGTGACTTTCTAACATGCCCTTCCTGCCATATGTAGTAGCACACACTTTAATCTCAGCTCTCAGGAGGTAGAGGCAGATGGATCTGGATCTCTCTGAATTCAAGGCTAGCCTACCCTGCATAGTCAGTTCCAGGCCAGCTACCTATCTACACACACATACACACACACACACACACACACACACACACACACACACCGCCAAAGAAGAAAGTAGCTTTCCTGTCCCTACTCTCTTCAGATCTCCTCAAAGTTTATCTTAAGGGTAACCTCATAGGTACAAATGAAGAAAAGGCTTTCACTTTCTTCTTGGGGAGTGGGTGTGGGCTCAAGACAGGGTTTCTCTGTATAGCTCTGGCTGTCTTAGAAATCACTCTATAGTCCAGATCGGCCTTTAATACACAGAGGCCAGCCTCTGCCCCGAGTGCTGGAATTAAAGGCATATGCCACCACTGCCTGATAGCATTTACTGTTTTAATCTTGTTTTGTTTTTTCTCTAGACAAACTATTATGTAGCCCAGTCTGGCTTTGAATGCCTATGTGCTGCTGGGAATCAACTCCACAGCCGGGACTGTGGGTGTGGCTCACCAGGTGAAGACATGCTTGCCACCAAATCTGAAAAACTGAGTTCGGTCCCTGGGCCCTACCTGGTGGAAGGAGAAAACCAACCCTTGCCAGTTGTCTTACACTCACTCACTCACTCACTCACTCACTCACTGACTCACTCATACATAGAATAAATAAACAAATGTAACAAACCCAGGGTTTATGCTTGCTTGGCAGGAACTCCACCACCTGAGCTACAGCCCAACCCAAGGAGGAAAAGAAACGTTTTTGGGCTCCAACTATGTACAAGACTCAGGAAGTTCCTGCCATGGCTAATGGATCATCCATGTTCTCATTTGGTTCACAGCATGTCCTAGAGAAACCCTTAAGTCACTTACATCAAAATATTTTAGAACTCAAGTGTCATCTTGGTTTCTAAGAATTTCAGAAATTTCTATACATGCTCCCAAACAAGCTACAAGCTTCTGAACTCAATCATCCCATTTCATATTCCTCACAGTCTCCAACAGCACACCAGGAAGAAAATCGCTCTATAAAAAGCTCAATATGGCTGACATTTACTGAGCCAAGACCATCCTGAATCCTCTATTCAGGCACTAAATGCTGTGATCAGGGCTCTGTCCCAAGACTTCTAAATGATCTTGCTTCTCTTCATCCTCGCCATGCCCCACCCCGTCCGCAGTCACTCAAGGCTTAAAGTAGAAACACCTTCTGCTTGGCAATCACAGTAGGAGGGAGGCAGAGGCAGGGGAGGTGGGGAGGGGGGTTGGAGCATTTGAAGCCAGCCATTGAAGAACTGCTCAAAAAACCCAAAGACTGAGTGTGTATGTAGCTCAGTGCATTCTATCCCTAGCACCTCCTTTAAAAAAAAAAAAAAATCAAACCAAACAAACAAACAAAAAACAAAACAACAGAAACCTCTGCTTTTGCTCCTTTGACTTTTGCTGGACAAGACGGGGTGGAGGCTGGGGACAGCCAGATCGTAAGATGGAGCCTTGCAAAGTTTCTTAACTGACAAACCCTCATTGGGGCCTCTTTCTACCAGAGTCCCCAAAGGGAATGAAAAGGGGTTGGTAAAAATCTCTGCTTGTGAGGCTGGAGAGGCTAAGAACACTGTGAGCTCACATGCTAAGAACACTGTTCTTCCAAAGGTCCTAAGTTCAATTCCCAGGAACCACTTGATGGCTCACAACCATCTAAGATCTCGTATGCAGACAGAATGTTGTATAAATAATAAATAAGTCTTAAAAAATGTTTTAAAAAAAAGTCTCTGCTTGCAAAGCCCACGTTGAGTACTGTGCAGGCACAAAGGTGAACCAAACAGGTTCCTGGCCCTCAAGAATTTACAATAGTCAAAGCAGACTAACCCTCAGGCTCCGTGAAGCACAAAGTAGAATGGGCCAGGTGTCGAAATGCTGGCAGCTGGAGAAAGCACTGTGGGAGAACAGATAGAGGAGAGATTAATTCCCATAAGCTGAGTATTCGGAGAATGTAGTATTGGGGGACACCCCTTAGGAGCTGGGGGAAAACAACCCACAGATAACACAGTACTCTCTGCCTGTCCAGTCGTGCTTGGTGGTTTGCCTGGATCTCCTGGGAAACACAGAGAGTGAGCGTTTGCCCAAGCTCAACCTAGGAAGCAGTGTTGGGGTAGGTAGATTTGAGCACACACAGATAACCGTATAGAGCTGGTGTTCTCAGCTCTCAGGTGAGGCGCAAAGGATGCCATGAGGGAAGACTAGCAAATTGCAGAGTCCGTCTAGGGGAAGAGTGTAGATTCTGTGAAGGTGTAGAAATATGCGTGCGTGCATCTGCCTAATATTCTTTCATTGAAAAGGAGGCTTGGGATCTGTATGATTCTTGACTTTTGTGTAGTTGATCTGACCTCCCTGAATCCCTGTTTGAGGTGCTATTATCCTTGTTTGTTATCGAAAAGGGAACAGAAACACAGGTTATTAAGAAGCCCATGCAAACTTGTAAAACTGGCTGGTGATGGTGCAATCTGAATTCAGGGTCCTCTGTGCTGGGCAGTGGTCCCCGCATGGGCTTTTTGCCTCGAAAGCTGTCCAGCCACTTTCCCCATAGTTTACACGCCCTGTCTCTTCCCACTTCAACTCCCCGAACTTTCCTCCATTACCACCTCTAGTTTTTCAGCTAGAATGGTCGAGCTCGGTACCCCAGGGCTGCCGGAGGTGTCCGGGAGCCCCAAATCCACTCCAAAACGTTTTGAGACCCCTCCTATAAAAACGCTTGGAGCCCAGGCCAGACATGGGTGTGTCCCAAGGGCGATGCCTGCGGCTCGGGGCGGGGCGAAGCTTAACTAGGGATTTGGCTGTGGGGCGTGGCCAGGCAGTGGGGCGGGCCCTGAGAGCTGGGTAGTTGCAGGTGCCTCCTCCTCCGCCTCTCCCGGTCCCCGGCCGCGCCAGGCACTGTGCCTGCAGCCGTTGGAGCGCCTTTGTGCCTGGCTGGGGTGAGGCTGCGACCGCCCCTTGTACGCCCTGGTCCATTGTCTTCCCGGCTGGTGCCACCGCGGCCGCTGCAGCGCCGGGCCGGGTGGGCGTCCGCATCCCAGGCGCGCCGTGGGAGATGAAGCTCCCGAAGCTCCCGAAGCCGTGGTGGGCGGGCGGCGGCCTCCTGCACCTCACGCTGCTGCTGAGTTTGGCCGGCCTCCGTGTGGACCTGGACCTCTGCCTGCCGCCGCCGGCCGCCGCACTTTGGGAAGAGCTGCTCCCACTCGGTCCCACCCGCCCCGCCTCGGCTTCTAGTCTCTTCTCGGCCTCGGGAGGCTGGGGACGTGCCCCCCAGCTGCCTACCAAGGGCCGGCTGCTGCGCGAAGTGCGCGCGCTCGGAGTCCCCTTCATCCCCTGCACCCGCGTGGACGCGTGGCTAGTGCACAGCGTGGCGACCGGGGACGCAGACGGGGCCCACGGGCTGCTCGGCACCGCCGCCTCGTCGGCCGTGGGAGACGGTGCCCAGGCGCCCCCCGCGGGCGGCGGGGACCCTCGAGCGGCTCAGAGCAGCCCTCTGGCCGCCGAGGAGGAGGCGGAGAAGGCGGCAGAACCGACGGCGCAGGTGCGAGACGCCGGCGGGAGTCAGGTAACCTACAGGGACGCGAGCGAATGTTAGGTCTGCGCCCTCCGGGCTTGGAAGGACCGGCCCGGAGCCCTAGGGTCGCGACGGCTACACAGGGTCACACCCGCTCTCTCCTTTCTGCTTACCCTAGGTAGTTGTAGGTTGTGGAACGAATCTGCCCCACCTCTTTCTGAATGAAGGAGGTGGAATTTGATTTTGGGGAAAGTGGATGGAATCCGCTTGCGTGCGGAGAACACCCTTCCTTGTGTTTGATGGCTGTAGAGGGTAGTTTGGTAATGGGGAAGCGATAGGGGGATGGTGCTGTCCAAACCGTGGCATTTTAATCTTTAATCCGTACCCCGAATGCGTAAAGATGTCTTGGTGGGGAACCTGTGCAAGATCTGGAGGAGGCCCCGGTCTCCGCGAAGACGCGCCTCTCTCTGAAGAACCACGCACCCAACGCACGGGCAGGGCCCTGGCCCTGAATTTAACCTTACCTGTAGCCTGTTTGTGGTTGTGCTGTTGTGCTCCTGGAGTAAGGGGAGCCCCGGTGTTGAGTGCAGTTGGTCCCTCTGTGATTTAACCATCCACCTCCTCGCCTGGGAGTCCTCCCTACTGGAAACGTGTGAGATCCCTTATTTACATACACAAAGCACTCCAGTGTCCTTTGGTTGCCGGGTCTCTCCTTCGGATGAACTTTTTTTTTTTGTTGTTGTTGTTTTTAAAGGCTTCCACAAGATCTGTAAACTGAAACCAGAAAGACCTCTGCAGCTAGAGAGTTCCTGCCTCCCCGGGAGTTTCCTTAGGCCCAGAGCTTGATGTTAACTGAAGTGAATCCACAAGTGTTTGTAGGATGTTGTTTTTGTGACAGCAGTCTTGTGCAAAATGGGGCTGAACTGGTTTGTTTGCGGCTCTTCAGATTTACCCTGTTTGTGCAGGCACTTGCCTGACAGGCTCCTCCACCCTTTCTTGGAGGGGTCATCGCAGTGAGGTGCTGGTGATTCACTGCTCTGCTGATTTGATCCCTTCCTCCTCCCAGGGATGGGAACTAATGGGGTGGGGGCCGGTGTTAGCCTTGGTAGGCTCCTGTTGGTGTAGCACAGACAGGAAGCCGTGCCCCGTTCCACCTCACAGATCTGAAGCCCAAGGGAGAGGGCTGTCACCCCTGGAGGGGCACTTCTCATCTTAGGAGCGCCTCTGCCTTTTCTGGTCCCGTGAAGTGTGGGTTTGAACTCCAAGGTGGATTCCGTATGAGGTGGCACCGCACTGCTCTCACAGCCCAATGTCATCCAGCTTGCTAAGTGTACAAGCCTTTGAAGGGGGAAGGGAAGCTTTTCCGAGAACTCTGGTCCCATCATTACCTGGTTAATACCTATGTGGGCTGGTGGGCTCGTTTCGGAGGCAGCTCTGAGGGCCTGGGAACTGAAACACAGGTTAAGAAACTGGAAGCCAGGAGAGGGTAGTGCACACCTTTAATCCCAGCACTCTGAGACAGAGGCCTAGTCTACACAGCAAGTTCCAGGACAGCCAGGGCTACACAGAGAAACCCTGTCTTTAAAAACAGAACAAAACCAAACAAACAAAAAGAAAAAAAAAGAAAAACAAACAAACAAACAAACAAACAAAAACCTCCTGCAAGGTAACAAAAGTGGCTGGTGATGGAGAGTGGAATCTGAACTCAGGTGTCAGACTCTCTCTCTCCTTGGCTGTGCTGGACTTGCTTTGTAGACCAGGCTGGCCTCGAACTCACAGCCATCCTTCTGCCTCAGCCTCCACACATGCTGGAATTACAGGCTTGCACCTCCACACTGGCTATCTTTCTCTTCTTACCCTCTGGGTCAGCCAATAGTCCTCACAAGAAGGACCTGGAGACCCTCTTTCTTAAAGCCATTGTGGTCTACCTCCTCCAGTCTCCCACCACCCTCTAACACTTCTCTTGGCAGTGCCTTCCCTGGCTGGGCTGGCATGTGTCCCTGCTGGACCCATGGTAGCAGTGGGATTTGGCTCTGTTCAATCAAGCAGTGATCAGTTGCCGAGCCCTTTAGAACTCTGGGAGCCAGGTCACTGTTGCGGTATGTGTCTGATTTGTACTTAAGGGAAAGAAACCCAAGGGAGGTCAGGGAACTTGGCTAAATCCACACATTAGTTAATGCCAGAAGTGGACTGAGTTCCAGAGTCTTCCGTCTCCCAGATTCATATATTAATTAAGTACTGTGGGCTGTACTCCGGTTCTGTCTATAAGAATGCATCTGGGATAGGATGAGTCAGCCCTGACTCAGCCTGTCTTCTGGCCCCAAGACAATTGCTTTCTGGTTCTGGATTTGTTTGTTTGCTTGTGGTCTGTTTGGTAGGTGGTGGTGGTGGTGGTGGTTTTGTGGTAGGGTGTCATGTGTCCCTCATTAGTCTTGAACTTGCTATATAGACAAGTGTGACCTTAAAGCCTTGAAGCTTACCCTTTGCCCTCTCTCTAGTGCTGAAATTACAGGCATGAGCCTCCACAACTAGCTTTATTGAGTATTGTTAGCCAGGCTGGCCTTGAACTCTTAGGCCTCTTGTCCCAGCCTCTCAAGTGCTGGGATTACAAGTGTGTGTCACCAAGCCTGGCTTGGTTATCAACTAGAGGCAGGTTATCAACTAGAGATCTCAGTGGTTAGGAGCCTTTGCTGCCCTTGTGGAGGACCCAGGTTTGGATCCGAGCACTCACATGGTGCCTAGCAACCATCTGTAACTCCAGTTCCAGAAAGATCTGACGCCCTCTTCTGACCTCTGAGGACACTGCATGCACACAGACAGACCTGTAGGCAAAACACTCATACACGTTAGGTAAAAATAAATACATGTTTTAAAAATCTTAATAAAATAAAAAGCAGGCTGTGCATTCATGATGAGGATCAGGACTCTGGGGAAAACGGCCTAGGGAAATAATGTCACTTCCTCCGTAGCTTATGTGACTCGCCGGAGTCCCAGGATCTCACTAGAAGTGGGAAAGTGAAGTTTTCCTGGAGGTGAGCTGTGGATGGGAAAAGCGAGTGTGAGGTGCCAGCTTGGTGCCTGGGTGGCACTTGTCCTTTCCCTACATTTAAAGTCTGTGCTTGTCGCCATTTGCCTCTTTCCCCTGGCCTTGTTTGTTTCTATCCAGCTTACTAGGGAGCGGTGTGTAGGCTCCATAGGAATGTGGGAGGAGAATTAGCTAACTGATCAATAATTCCAGTGACTTACATTGGAGTTGGGAGACGTTCTGTTTTTAGAGTATAATTTTCCATAGCTTTTATGCACATGCAGAAACATTTTGGAGTCGGGGATTTTCAAAGTATCGGAAGTAAGCACTGCTTTGATTTCACTTCTTAGAGCGGCAATCATCATGAAAACAGACTCTGGAATTCCCCAGAACTGACAGCTTCCTTTTTATAACCGTGGCCATTCACTTAGAACTGTCGGAGCTCTGCTCCGCCCGGGGAACTGTGGCTGCTCAAGAAATAAAGCTACCTGGCTTTCCCAAGTGGGGGCTCACAACTGTCTCTTACTGCAGTCCTGGTAACTCTAACACCCTCTTCTTGCCTCTGAGGGGCTGCAAGCATTTGCTGCCCTGGCAGAGGACCCAGGTTAGGGTCCTAGCATCCACACGGTGGCTAACAACCATCTGTAAGTCTGGTTCCAGACATTTGCACTGCATGCAGGCATACATGCAAGCAAATAGCCGAACACATAAGAGAAAATAACAAAAAATTAAAATAATGGTTCTGTCGCGTTAACTGTATGTCAGCATTTCAGAGAGCTTTGTTGGCAACTGAGTTGGTTGTGGTTGTCTTGTGGTTTTTCATCTCCTGTGACAGCAACCAACCCTCCGCTGTGTGAGCTACCCTACCAAATGTCCTGCCTTTCTTTGGGATGGTTCCTTCGGTTCGTAGAATCACTATGGTCCACGGATCATCCCAAGAATGATGGGGAGAGAAAGACCGTCTCTGATTTGAAGTAAATTTAGTTTCCATTTCAGAATCAAAGGTACCTATCTCCTGACGCCTAGGCGGTTGGTCAGAGGCGGGGAGCAAACGCTTGGTTTTCACTAAGCTGTGATGCAGGCGCCGTCTTCATTCACAGTGGCGCGGTTCCCCAGTGGGGTTTTCATTTTGCTGTTAGTGGGCGGTGTATAGGTATACCTTGGCCCCTTGAGGAGGAAAGAACGGCGTAGCCATTGTACGAGGACCCACAGATTGGGCGCTTACATAGAAACCTATTGGGAGACAGGAAGTCCAAAGCAGAGTGTCAGTAGAGTGAGTCCTTCCAAGGATGGATGGGAGAATCTGCATTTTGGTGGTTTGCCGGAGCTTCTGGTATTCTGTGGCTTTTGCTGCGCAGTCAGTCTCTGCCTCCCTTCCCCTTCCCATGTTTCCCTTCTGTAGGAAGGGCAGTCACATGGCGTCCACCCAGCGCTCTTTTTACCCAGTTATATTTGCAGTGACGCGGTTTATATGGCTGCCTTCTTAGGAGTTAGGACTTAAAGGGAACTGTGGAAGGGACAGTTTGACCTAAACCAGTCCCATCGCCCTTCTGTCAGGTGTACAGCTTGCTTGTACTTGAGCTATTAGACACGGAGTCAGTTAGTTTCTGTACGGGGCTGTTTGTGGCAGCACTCGGTGTGTCCTGATGAGAACTTTAAACCCTTGTCGCTGTCGTTTTGTTGTCTGTTTTGTTGCTGGGTTACAGAAAAATCTCTCTATCTGTTCAGTTATTCCCCACTTTGTCTTGCTGCTTAGCTCACATAGTAGGAGTCTAGTATACAGGGCACAGGGGTCAAGGGAGGCCAGTCTTGGAGTCACAGGGCTAGCGCCGAGCCAGGCCAACCAGATTGTCTCCATTGCATGTATGTCCTACCTGCCGCATACTTCACTGTCTCTGTAAAATGGGTGCTAACAGGGTTAGTGTGGATATGGTTAGCCAGTCAGGCTAAGCAGAGCTGGTATGCCGCTGGCCTTCGAATTTGCTACTGTCGATCATCCTGGCAGGGTTCCAGAGTCCCCCCTCCA